TAAAAGACTGGGCACTGGACATATAGATCTCATGTATGTTCATGTTTGGGAATATCGTACTCCTATTGAGGAAGTAATGCGTTCTTTAGATGATGTTGTTAGAAGTGGCAAGGTAGGCTATTTGAAACCTATTACATAGTATGTAGGTTTGTATAACTAATCATAAATATTTAATCCAAATTCCTAAAAGGCACTCTATGTTGCGATTAGCGATTCTCCAGCATGGGTGATTAGTCGTGCGAATGCGATAGCTGAGTTACGTGGGTGGAGGTAATACAATACATATAATAATATATATCTTACTTATTGTAAAATAATAAATAAATAACTCGTTAATTTATATAAGTCCTTTCATTGGATTGCAAACGCGGTATAATTTATTAAATCGATCTTTGGAATATGATTTATTATCTGCTTGTACTGAACTTGATGTGCGTAAATATGGTTACTATTTGTTATTTTTACCTCTGACAAATATGTTTGTTGAGTTTATCATAGTTTTTTTTTAAAAAATCTGGTGGTGGCATCGAAATTAACATGTTAATTTTTACCATTAAGGTTGGAATTATTCCTTGGGGATGTGTTGCTGAAGGGTATTCATGTTTTAAATTGATGCTTTTTTGATGCGTTATATGATTACGCACAAGTTAATCTATTCTGATGTATTTTCTCTTTTTTTTTTATTTTACTCAGATTCTTGACTGGAAAATATACCAGAGGATCAATTAACAGCATAAAAAACAGCGGTGATATTCGCCATTTGCGTGATGTTTCACTTATTAGTTTAGCAGGACAAGAGCAAAGTTGGCAAATACTTGACGAAGTTAAAGCTATTGCTGCTGAAACCAAGAGAATTCCTGTTCAAGTAACTTTATGACTTAAATTGTTTAAATTTTTTTATAACTATTTATATTTTTTATAAGTTTTTTCATAAACCAAAAGGTCGCTTTAAATTGGATCTTACAAAAACCTGGCATTACTTCGCCTCTTATTGGTGCTAGAACAAAAGCTCAATTAGTTGAAAATCTTAAAGCTCTTGAATTCAAGTATAGTTTTGTAATTTCCGTTATCTTTGTGTTAAATTAAGCCTTTGCTTAATTATTTATATTGATTTAAATAAATAGATTAACACCTGAGCAAATGACAAGATTGGATGCTGTTTCGGAAACAAATAGACCGCCATTTCCGTATTCTTTTACACAATCGAATCTTGAGGCATATCTTGGTACGGGAATATAAATTCCTGACAAATATAAACGTGTGTTGAAGTTGGGCGTACAAGGAAAATTGTAAACGGAATTGCTTGAGCTGGAAACATCCCAGATCATGTTTCATAGATAGTTTTGGATGAACACAATGTAAAATAAAAGCAATACATTATTTTATTACAATACTGATAAAGTATTAGTGTACTCTATCTTAAAACATAAAATTTTGTTGAATTTATTTTGATGAAACTATATTATGATACTGGGGGTTCAAATTAACAAATAAATGGCGTATTTCGAAACTAAGTAAAATTTTTTAACATATGGGCTAATCGGAGACATTGGGCCCTAGACAGAGGCACTAGATTTATTTTGAACCTGTATTTAATTGTTTTTTTAATTGGCCTTCTATGGAACAATTGTCCAATAAATTTGAGTAAATACCCTGAATAATTCAAATTAAACC